ACTAGTTTAAAAAGCTATTAATTAATTTATACCCATTTTGATTTAGAAGCAATGGATGCTAGAGATTCAGATTCAGTAAACCGATGAGAGGTCCGTGGAGATTATAATGGGAACGGAATGAGATCTTGGAAAGCGAAAGTATAGACAATACAAATTCGAGTTCTACAAAGAAAAAGGCTAGAACAAATCAATTTTAGGTAAGCGAAAGCTTCGATCTCTCCTTTTGTTGGAACACTTTCACTAAATTGGATACTATTTTTGAAGATAGTAAAAGATGTGCTCAATGCAAAGCTTGTAAGAAGGTAATGATAGATGATAGTCATCATGGGACAGGAAATATGAAAAGACATTTGAATACATGCCCTGCAAAAAATAATGTTGAATTGTTTATGTCGGCATCTGAATTGTGTTCCCAAAAGTTTGATCCTTTGGTATTTCGTGGCTTATTAGTAGAGGCAATCATCAAGCATAATCTTCCTTTTTAATTTTGTTGAACATGAGGGAATCAAGGCTTTGTTTGCATATGTATGTCCTGATATTAAGCTACCATGTCGAAATACTATCAAAGCTTGTGTGTTGAGGATGTTCAAAACTGAAAAACAAGCATTGCATAATTTATTAGGCTCAGTTGAAGGTAGAATTTGTTTGACATCAGACTTATGGTCATCTCAGTGCACTGATGGGTATCTTGCACTTACTGCTCACTTTGTAGACAAGGATTGGAAATTGAATAAAAGAATTATAAGTTTTTTGTCACATGCCTCCTCCGCATACTGGTATTGCATTATGTGAGAAAATAAGTGCGTTGGTAACTGAGTGGGGGATTGAGAAGAAGTTATTTTCTATTACTTTGGATAATGCTCCTTCAAATATTTGTTTTGTTAACATTTTGAGGAATCAATTAAATATTAAAGGTCTTCTCTTGATGAATGGTGACTTCTTTCATGTGCGTTGTTGTGCTCATATTTTGAATTTGATAGTCCAAGATGGACTTAAAGAAATTGATTCTTCGGTGGTAAAAATTTGTGAATGCATCAAGTATGTAAAGGGTTCTGAGGCTAGGAAACTAAAGTTTCAAGAATGTGTTAAGCAAGTAGGGATATTGGATTGTAAAAGAGGTTTGAGACAAAATGTCCCTACTAGATGGAACTCAACCTATCTTATGCTAGATAGTGCCATTTTCTATCGATATGCTTTTATTAATTTAGGGTTGAGTGATTCAAATTTTGAAAGTTGTCCTTCTTCTGAAGAGTGGGATAAAGTGGTGAAGATTTCGAAGTTTTTGGGGTACTTTTATGATGTTACATGCTTATTCTCTGGGACAAAGTACCCCACATCAAATTTATTCTTCCCTAAAGTGTTCGTAATTTAGCTTCAAATGAAGGCAACCATTGATGATTGTGATAGTTTCATGAATAAGATGGGGGATTATATGCACATGAAGTTTCAGAAGTATTTGTTAGACTACAGTTTGATTATGTCAATTGCAATCATCTTGGATCCTCGTTATAAGCTACATTTTGTGGATTGGGCTTACACAAAGCTTCATGGCGTGAATTCTATGGAATATAAAAATGTTCATGGCACATTGATTGCTCTCTTTAATGTGTACTCGGAAATATCTGCTCATCTTTATTATTCAAATATTCCAATGAATTTAATGCCTAATCATCAAACAGAAGGTGGAGAAGGATATGCTCTCTTTGAGGTAACGTAAAGTTTGTATTTTCCTTTTTATACATAGTACTTTAATTATTAATATCATATTTGAAATTGGGTTATGCATAATTTTTATGATGTTTCTGTTTTTTTTTTTTTTAATTTTTATGATGTAGGATTGTGATAATAATTACAATGGTACAAACTCAGTTGAAAAAGGTGAATTACAAAAGTATTTGGATGATAAAAGACTAGATAGAAGACAAGATATAGATGTTCTTTCTTGGTGGCAAATGGAGCGTTTTCATTATCCAATACTTTCTCAGTTAGCACGAGATGTGCTAACAATTCTTATTTCAACTGTTGCTTCAGAATCTGCTTTTAGTATTGGGGGTAAAGTGCTAGATCAATATCGTACTTTATTGTTGCCAGACACGGTTCAAGCTTTGCTGTGTACACGAGATTGACTTTTTGGAAAAGGAGGTAGTATATAGTTTTTATCTTTTCATAATTATTTTTAGTACCCATAATTTGAATGGTTTACATACAATGTTTGATTTTTCTATGTTTAGTTTATGCGGAAGAGAGTGCTAATGTGGAAAGCCTCAATGAAAACATCTTCAATATAACTCTTGAAGATTGAAGGGTTTTCCCATGGTGATTGAGGAAAATTGAAGGGTTTGATTGGAAGAAAATGTGCAAGATGTTCTAATGTTCCAATGTCCTTAATTTTGCAAATCTTTTGAACATTTGATATTTTGTAATGTTCTAATGTTTTTTTTTATTATGCTCTTATTTTGGATATGTAAATAAAATTAAAATGAAAATTGTGTTTTTATGTTTTGGTTTTGGATGTGACAATATGGTATGTATTATCTATCGTTATAGACCATACCAACAAATAATATGACTATTTGGAAGCAGGGGTATGGGTGTGAATTAAATTGGTGTACACATATTGGCTCTAGCAGACTCTAGAAAGTCTAGGTTATGTCCATTGTGTATGGCATCACACTCACAATAAGGTGGGCAATGGGATCCCTTGCATAATCATATAGTCTCATATGATCTCCTTTATTGTCAGTGCCTATAGGCATGGCAATCGTATATATATCCTCTTGTCAATGGCACCAATCAAATAACTGGGCCACATGCATTCCTTTGACAGTAGATAATTTATGCTCTTATTTTTATTGTCGCGCCTTTTTTCTTTCATTCACTTATTGCTTCCTAAACCCTTTTTTTCCGCACAAAGCTTCCTCACCATCATTGCTATGGTGCTTTGGTAATTCTGATGGCACATAGCAAGAGTAGTCTTCGTCGTGGCCTGCAATACCATTCTTGCACGGTTAGAAGATTGATTTGTGTTTTGGTTCTAATCAAGCAATTGTGGGTTCAACCTTTTTTTCACTCAAAAAAAGTATTATGTTTTTTATTTAATTATTTATTGGTTTAAATTATATTTTCCTTAACGGGTAATGGGTCGGGTCATATTACCCGTTAATATTATCGGGTCGATTTCGGGTCGGGTCATTTTACTCGTTTATTTTAACAGGTGTTACACGACACGACCCGTTAAGATATCGGGTATGACATGAAAACGACACGAACACGGGAAACACGACACGAATGCCAAGTCTAATTTATATCTGCATTCAAAGATTATTCCTTTTTAACATCAAAAGTGGGCACTTTTGTTTTCGAAGTCCCGACTTTGGGATGAAATTTGTTTTTTGAATCATAAAAACAAGTGTTTGAGTCCAAACATAAATCCCATTCAGACATGTGAGCAGAGATGGATATCGTTTTTTAATTGGATTAGAGTTAGAGGACGTTGACCGTAACAGGAGATCACATGCAGTTAAGAAACATAATTCCTATTCAGTGCAAGATTAGTGAACATGAAACCAGAACCCTATATATATTCATTCACCACATCAACAATCCCACCCACCACAATCTTTGCATCCTAATATTTGCTTTGGAGCTTGGAACTTCTTACAAATCACGATGAACATACACCGCTAGAATAACGCACAACGCCAAAAGGGTTCGGGTGCATCAATCTTGAAGAGAGAAACAGAGAAACATCTGCCGCCAAAAGGGAATTTGGGTGCGTCGATCGTGCCAATACAAGAGAGAAATGTCTGCCCCCAAGAGAGAAAGGTATACCTTATTTGACACGCCCGACCCTAATATTCACCAAACACCAGGGTAGGCACGTGCTGGCTGACACCGAAAGGTGACGAAGCCATACTAGGATGCATGAGAACTAAGAACAATTAACTGACATAAATAAAACTTGTAAATTTAATTATAATGAATATGCAATTGTGGATCATGTTAAGAGCATACAACTAATCTGAGATACTAAAAAGGAATAATATAAAATTGAATGAACAAATGGATGGGTCCTACATTGCGAGGACTCGAAGATGCCGATGCGAGAGTGCCTTTACACCAGGATTGTACGCCTCGATTCTAAGTCTTGAGAGGGCACAATACAAAACATGAGAGGACCAAATTGATATATAAGTAATACGAAAACAAATAATCTTTAACCGTACTAACCCCCAGGTTTAGAAAACTCGTATAGCATAATAAGTAATAGGTTTTCTAAAAACCCTAGCATGCCATAAAACCTTTCATAAACATATATTGTATATAGGGTGCTTAGTAGTAGTAGTACAAGGCGCGCACACACACACACACACACACACACACACACACACATCTTCATTAGGCCGAAGCCACCAACCTACGCCCTGTTGAAACTTATACACACACACACACACACATATCTTCATTCGGCCGAAGCCACCAACCTACACCCGGTCGAAGTCGATATAAGTATCTTCCTATGCCTGGCCGAAGCCAATATAAATATCATTCGCCCGTAGGCAAGATCGTTCGCCCGTAGGCAATATCATTCGCGCATAGGCAGAACCGTTCATCCGTAGGCAGTATCATTCGTCCGTAGGCAATATCATTCTCTCGTAGATAGATCGTATGAATAACCACTAAGTAAACACATAAGAACATTAACATAATATTTCTAATATATATATATATATATATATATATATATATATATATATATCTCTCTCTTTTTCAAATAGGAGCTCAGTAACTAAAATATCATATCGTAAAACCACGTTCATAAATAGGTATATAGTCATCAATCATATATACCACAAAGAATGTAAAGTCGATAAAGCATGATAATTCATAAAGCGTGAAACCAATTTATTCATAAAAATTTCATAAAACGTAGACATAAAATCATGCTTTTCATGCATGCATTTCTAATAGTAAAATCATGCATTTTAGAAGGGGTCCACTCATAGATACTTCACCGTCAAAAAGCCATGCAAACTAAAGAGGACATAAACGCCATAAACAATTGCACCTAAGCACATAAAGGTACCAATTAATAAAACTATACTAAAATAGTTGAATTTCAGGAAACGGATGTCATAAACGGATTCAGGACATCAAAAAACAAAAGGGGGACCTTGGGTACCCCTACGCGCCGCCACGAGGCGGTGGCCAGGATGGCCACGCACTGCCATATGCCAATTTGAGTTGTCGAAAAGTTGGCCGCAAAAGGAAATCGCCCACGCGCCGACTGGAATCTTGGTTGGGCCAATTCACATTTGGGTTTGGGCCAAAGGCTTGGGTTGCACCAAGTCATAAGAACTGGGCTTGGGTTCTAGTTTATTGGATTGGGCCCATGTTAAAGAGTTGGACTTGGGCTGGTTTTAGGCTTGGTTACAGAGGCCTAAGGTTTGGGCCGAATTAAGGGATTGGGCTGGGTTTTGCGGGTAGGGTTTGACCCATTTTCAGGCCGGGTTAACCGATTTCAATGGAGAAGAAAGTCGAAGCTTTCCTAAGCTCCGGTCAACCTCAATTCTCAACCATAACCTACAATCTACCTACCAAAATAAAGACAAACAAGTGTAGATTAGGATGGTACCTTTGGTTTCCTCGGTTATGGCCCGAGGTGGCTGGAAAATGGCTCGAAAGCTGTAGAACTCGCCGAAAAACTGGAAATGAGAAGAACACATATGAATAGGGTTAAAACTTTCAATTTTTTCAGCTCAAGAATAACCTGGGTTCCCAGAAACTCTCATTAGAGACAAAGATACAACCTAAACTCAAAGAACTCGCATCGGTTTGTCGGGTTTTCGAGTTAAGTCGTTGGAGCAAATGGTGGTTCCGTCGTATATGCCCAGTTCCAGAGTTAACAGGGACGAAAGGGGAAATGAAGTGATGATCTTGCTATGATGGTGGTGACTGTCTATGTGTGTGTTGGTTCTCGGAGGCAATGGTAGAGAGATGATGGAGGGTTTCCCGGGGAGAGAAGGGAGAGAGAGAGAGATTCGAGAGTTGTAACAGGGAGGAGGAAGAGAGAAGTTCAAGTGGGCAGGGGGACAAAAAGGAAAATGGGCCCCACTTGGCACACCGTTTAAGACCCAAATAGTAGCCATTTCAAAATATCTAGCCCAATCCCATAAAATTACCAAAATACCCTTCTGATAAAAAAATTTGTAAAATTATTCGGGATGGGTTGTTACATTATTCAAAGAAGAAGAGAATCAAAAGAAACACTGGTAGAAGATGAGATGTTATTGTTGGTTGTTGTTCTACTAGCACTTTAAATGATGATGCAGCAATACTAGCTTCCTCAACCAAGCAAATTATATTGAGATTTGACTCTGGAATTGAAACATTTCGACCTTGGAAAGTTGGTAGAGAAAAAGTGTCGTCGAAAAGATTGAGGAAGATAAGTTGTTATTACTGGTAGCTGCTCTATTGGTGCTTCAAATGATGTCTCAGTGGGCAATGACGGATCAGGAATTTCACTTATATTTGAATTCAAATCCTCTTTTGATTGTTCAGATGGAGTTGAATGTGTTTCATCTGTAGTTGCATTGCCTTGAAGGGAGGTTTTAAATGCTTCTGGTTGCTCAACTGTGTGTACACTAGTCAATGAATTGGGAGATGATGATAAGGAACACTTAATCGTATCTGGATGCATATATTGCTCTGCACAATTGAATGGTTGGGGTAGAGTTTCTTCTAGAATTTCATAACCCTGAAAGCACAAAACCCATATTCTGACTGCATGTTTTTCAAAAATTAGTTCAAGAAAAACAATGTTAAACCGATAAAACATAATCTTGAACTACTAAGTAGCTTGTTAGAAAAAGTGTAACGAGGAATAAGCTCAAACTTTTAAATCCAGTCAAACAAACGAAAATGTCAGAGATTGCTCAGAACATCAAATGTAAAAATAGATTCCATTAATCTCAAATCTTACTAGAAGATTTAATAACATAGAATATTTAAGAAATCAAACCATGTTAGTTGTGTATCACTGAAAATGGGAAGATGTATACATCATGATGGAATTTTGATATCTCTCCAAGCCGATGGCAAAAGGCTCTGCTCAAATGCATATGCCCACCACCTTCATATTTCAACTTGTCATCATTCTCCACTGCATCAACATTCATGGTGACACGTATATCCGGCTTTATATCAATGGTTCTCCCATCCTTAACAAGCACTTTCGTAATCTCAATAACCTCAGGTAAAATAAACTTCAGCTGAGCCAAGTGACTAATTGTAAACCTCCTAAAAACCCAAATGAAGAAGAAAATCAGTCACTTTTTATGCCTAATTTATTTCTTCAGCAACCAACCAAACCAAATAACAAATTAAAAAGAAACCTTTCTCAGCACCTATCAGTTAAACACTCAATTTTCTGGCGAAGATTGGTAAAACTTGGCATCAAACCCCTCAACTACAATAATCAAATCGAAGCATCAAGCAATTGAAAAACTCACTCAAAATCTCATACCTGAACAAGAATGAAAAAAAAAAACCACACAAAAAAATCAATCAAAATCCACTAAAAATGTCAAGAACAAAATATGAAAACATAGTAAAGAACCAAAATTCACGAAACCTTACTTTTGCGGCAGCTTCTCAGAGGTGCCAACATAGGTCTCAGTCAGGTTTTCGTTGGACCAAGAATCGATCTTTCGTCTCGCAGATTGGATATGAGCCGCCTGTTGCTTTTGGGTATGCTCCCATAAGAACTTATGACATAATTGTTATGGCTTCTCAGAGGTTTTGGAGCTCAGTGAGTCAATTTCTGCAACTCGAAGCTTTGGGTTTAAATGGAGTTTCTTCGATTTTGAAGGTTAGAGAGAGACTGGGTTTAGCGGTCCTTTAGGTTTCGAAGGAACTCATTGCGGAGAGAGAGAAAGAGCTTTGGAATTTGGAGTTGATAAAAAGTTGCCGATTTTGAAGGTGAGAGAGAGTAGTGGCTAAATGGCCAATTGAGGGCTTTTGGGTATTTTAATAGGGTTCTCTGGTGGCGGGAAAATTTTCCCGCTGCCTTCCGTGAAATAGATTCATTGGGCAAATATTTCATCTCCCAAATCAAGAGAGCACTATTATTTGGGATAATGCTAGAGACATCAAATTTTTAAATTAAATTTTGTAAACCAAATGGCGTGGATGTTGCACGCAAGTTGCCTTTTACTACAATGGTGGAAATGTGTTGAGCCCTTACTTGACAGCGTGGGTTCAAACTCCATTGGTTGCTAATCTAACATCTACTCTTACCAAATTTATCGTTTACAACAAAAAAAAATGATGTGAATGTTGATGATTGGATTATAATTAAGTATCGATTATCGTGCTTGTGTCGTATTGGTGTGATATTATTTGGTTTGCATTGGCCTTCGATATGCTCCATTCAACAAGATTTTATAGTATATAGCCAAATAAGTTTCCTAAATTTATAAATGTTAATTTTTATGAAATTATTCAAATAGAGCAAAAACTCTATTTTAATAGAACCAACTATCCTCAAAATTAAAACCTAATTACACCTAAAAACTAAAACCCTTATTTTGTGAGAGGAGGGAGAGTGGCCATTGCAGAACAGTGCGGCCATTGCAAAACAACACATTGTTGAAGAAACCAAGAACCATGAATGTAAGTCAACTACACCATTGCGGAAACTGAAATACATTTTGGTTTGGCGACAATAAGCACATGTTGAAGAATACATTAATTTATTAGAATCATTGGGAGACATAAAAACAGCCATTAAATCAATACATTGTTTTGATGACAATTTTCATCAAAACAATTACGTCAAATTTTGGGGGTGGGATATGAGAATGCTCAAACCCTACAAGTGTAAAAAGCAAAAATGAAAGAACATAAAATGCATCTATTTGGCGTTTTGTTTCTTTTTTATTTGAATTGGAGGGCACATTGGTCTTTTAAGCGAATTTTTGGCTATTATTATAAATTTTATAAAAATTGACAATTATTTTTGGAAGCATGATTAATGTTGAGATTTGTTGATATTTTACTGTAGATTTCGAATCAACTTTATCAGTGTCATTCGTAGCAAAATACTATTCTTTGATGACCAAATTCATACTTGTACTTCTACTAGTTTACCCAACCTTGTTAATGTTTCATGTGAGAATATGGATGGTAATTTACATGCGAAGACTACTAAGATGACGGTTTTGTTCTTAAATCTCACGTTTGGTAAATGGATAAACTTTCATGTCAATCTAAGTTTGGGATACTTTTTTTTCATTTTATATAAAATATCTTCTTCAACAAAATAAAAACTATAGTTCAAAAATCAAATCTAGCAAATGCACAAAAATTAACACCTAGTTTGTTGGGCCAGTCATGACACGATTGAAATAAAGTTCAAATTTGTCTTCTTGAAATCTTTTTATCTCTTACAAAAGAGCGTTTATCTTTGCATTAAAAAAATTATTCCTTTTTAATATCAAAAGTGGGTACTTTTGCTTTCGAAGTCCCTACTTTGGAAGGAAGTTTGTTTTTTTAAGGGTTCTTTAGATATTGGTCCTAAAAAAAAATCATGATTTCTAAATATAAACCTACATATAATTGAACATCCAACAAAAATTCAAAAGTCAAATAAACTGCCACATGAGAATATAAGTAACCTACTATTACAAATTATTTACAATTTTTGCCACACCATTTTACACTGTATCTCACACTTGAATTTTAGCTTCAATCAAGGGCCTTAAAACCTGATTAATCATCCTGACTGTATAAAAATGTAAAAGTTATAGAGAGATAACCTTTATTCGGGACAGGAACGAAGCAGTTGCAGAGTATTATACCAACACAAGCTGTTGCAGAGGAAGTAATGTATATTATTGCTATTAGATATTTTTCTTTTCCTTTTTTCTCTCTCTGCTTTGTTGAACATTCGTAAAGCTCTATTTATAGAGCATCACCATGGAAACAAACAAAAACACTATTAAACATATGACATGTTTACTGTATGCATGTGGGCATACATATTATACTATTTACAACACTCCCCCTTGGATGCCCACATATCAACATCAGTTGCCTCATTAAAACCTTGCTTGGAAAAAACCTGTGGGAAAAAAAACATAGCGAAGGAAAAAGAGTACAACTTTATCCGGATGGTGTTGAGCATGCTTATGTTGCCTCGTTAAAACCTTGATAGGAAAAACCCAGTGGGAAAAATCCTAAGCGAAGGAAAAAGAGTACAACATGCATGTATCATGGATGCTCCCCCTGAATTGGATCTCCCCCTGATTCTGCATTCTTCAAATTTGTAAGCCAACGTAATCCGATTCCCTGCACCAGCTTCTGAAATATGCACTTTGGTAGAGATTTGGTGAACAAGTCTGCTAAATTTTCATTGGAACGGATTTGTCTGACTTCAATAACTTTAGCCTTCTGAAGCTCATGTGCGCTGAAAAATCTTGGAGATATGTGTTTAGTCTTATCACCTTTGATAAATCCTTCCTTCATCTGGGCGACACAGGCTGCATTATCTTCATGGATGACAGTTGGAGTGTCTGTCTTTGAAGGTAGACCACATGAATTCCGGATGTGATGGATCATTGATCTTAACCAAGAACATTCACGACTTGCTTCATGTAGAGCAATTATTTCCGAATGATTGGAAGATGTTGCAACTAGCGTTTGCTTCGTTGATCGCCATGAAATTGCAGTATCTCTATTAGTGAACACATATCCATTTTGTGAGCGGGCTTTATGCGGATCGGAGAGAAAACCAGCATCTGCGTATCCAACAAGGATTTGTTCATTTGTGGGCTTGTCTGAGTAGAAGAGACCCATATCTGTTGTCCCACGAAGGTATCGTAGGACATCTTTGACTCCCTTCCAATGACGAATTGTTGGAGCAGAGCTGTACCTGGCTAACAAGTTAACTGAAAAAGCTATATTTGGTCTAGTACATTGTACTAAATACAATAAAGCACCTATTACGCTCAAATATGGTACTTCTGGACCAAGGACCAGTTCATCATCTTCCTTTGGACGGAATGGATCTTTCTTAATGTCTAAAGAACGAACGACCATTGGGGTGCTAAGTGGATAAGCCTTGTCCATGCCAAATCACTTCAGTATTTTTTCAATGTAAGCTGATTGATGGACCAAAATTCCACTAACACAATGCTCGATCTGCAGGCCTAGACAATATTTGGTTTTCCCAAGGTCTTTCATTTCAAATTCGCTTTTCAGATATTCAGCAGTTTTATGGAGCTCTTCAGGAGTCCCAACTAAGTTCATATCATCAACATATACTGCCACTATAGCAAATCCAGAGTTGGATTTTCTTAATGAACACACAAGGGCAGATGACATTGTTGATATATCCTTCTTTAATCAAATACTCACTGAGACGATTATACCACATTCGCCCAGATTGTTTTCAGCCCATATAGTGATCGCCTTAATTTGATTGAGAACATACCCCGTGGTTTGTTTGTTGCTTCAGGCAACTTAAGTCCTTCTGGGACTTTCATATATATGTCAGTATCTAATTCTCCATATAGAGACGCGGTGATGACATCCATAAGTCGCATGTCAAGTTTTTTCTAAAATCACCAAAACTTATTACGTAACGGAACGTAATTGTGTCCATTACAGGAGAGTATGTCTCCTCATAATCAATTCCAGGTTTTTGTGAAAAGCCTTGTGCAACGAGTCGTGCTTTGTATCTAGCAATCTCGTTTTTCTCATGGCGTTTCCTTGTAAATACCCATTTGTAACCTACGGGGTTTACATCAGTTGGGGTTTGGACTACTGGTCCAAAAACACTTCGCCTTTCCAAGGAATTTAATTCTGCCTGGATTGCATCTTTCCACTTAGGCCAATCTTGTCTCTGTTTGCATTCATCAACAGAGCGGGGCTCAATATCATCACTTAATATGATTTCAGTGGCTACTGCGAATGCAAACATATCGTCAATGATTATTTCATTCCGATCCCACAATTCATTAGTACATGCATAATTTATGGGGATTTCTTTGCTTTCATGTACTTCTGTCTCTTCAGGGCCATTTTCTTCTTCTGGAAGTCCAGAGTCATGAATTGTGGATTTGTCATTTACTTTCTCTTCCTGAATGATTTCATTTGGATTCAGTTGTGCCCTCGTCTTTCTCTTTTCGAGGGGCTGAATCTTTTGAACCTGGTGGTCTACCACGCTTCAGGCGTGCACCAGATGAATCATTCGCTACCACTTTATTTTATCCAACAGGGACATCAATTCTGGCAGGTGCATTTGCAGCTGGTATATGCGATTTTGTCACTTTCATAGTGTCATTAAATGCATCTGGCATTTGATTGGCAATGCTTTGAAGATGAACGATCCTTTTCACTTCATTTTCACATTGAATGGTTCGATGATCAAAGTGAGACAAGGTGGGAACAACCCATGTCAGTTTTTTCCGTTCTTCTGGAACGGTCTTTTCTCCCCCTAACGATGGGAAGACTGTCTCATCAAAATGACAATCAGCAAAACGAGCTGTAAACATATCACCTGTCAAGGGTTCCAAATATCTAATAATAGATGGTGAATCAAAACCCACATAAATTCCCAGTCTACGCTAAGGTCCCATTTTAGTGCGTTGCGGGGTGCAATAGGCACATAAACAGCACAACCAAAAACTCGTAAATGTGAAATGTTTGGCTGATGTCCAAACACGAGTTGTATTGAGGAGTATTGGTGGTTGGCTATAGGTCTCAATCGAACCAATGATGCAGCATGTAGAATGGCATGTCCCCATGCAGAAACTGGCAATTTGGTTTTCATAATCAGAGTGCGGGCTATTAACTGAAGCCGCTTGATCAATGCTTCTGCTAAACCATTTTGAGTATGGACATGAGGAACAGGGTGTTCAACATCAATGCCCAATGTCATGCAGTAATCATCAAAGGTTTGAGACGTAAATTCACCAGCGTTATCAAGTCGGATTGATTTAATGGGATAATCTGGGAATTGTGCTCGTAACTTAGTTATCTGAGCAAGAAGTCTCGCAAAAGCTACATTCCGAGTAGACAAGAGACAAACATGTGACCATCTGGTGGATGCATCAACCAAAACCATAAAATATCGAAATGGTCCACAAGATGGTTGAATAGGTCCACAGATATCCCCTTGAATTCTTTGTAGAAATGATGGGGATTCAGCATCAACCTTTAGTTGTGATGGTCTAATTACCAACTTCCCTTGAGAACAAGCCTTGCAAGGGTTATCATTTGAGATAGCAATGTCTCTGCTCAATAATGGATGTCCATTAGAGTTGGTAATGATCCTACGCATCATGGTGGATCCTGGATGACCCAGACGGTCATGCCAAAGCATGTAAACCTTTGAATCAATGAACTTCTAGTTCATGATAGTATGTGATTCAACTGTCCTTATGTATGTATAATATAATCCACTCGAAAAACCACGCAACTTCTCCAATATACGCTTCTGGGTATCATTGGAGGTAATGCATAGATACTCCACATTTTTGCACTTTTCGTTTCAATGTGGTATCCATTTAGACGTATGTCTTTGAAACTCAACAAATTTCGAGTAGATCGAGTAGCATACAATGCATTTTGTATGGACAATATTGTTCCATTTGGTAACATAATCTGGGCTTTCCCTGAGCCTTCAATCACATCTGAAGGTCCTGATATTGTTGTTACCCCTACTTTTGTAAGCATTAAGCTTGAGAAATACTTTCGATCACGAAGTATTGTATGTGTGGTTGCATTGTCTGCAAGACAAATATCTCCGCCATTTCTCATGTTCTGAGAATAACCACAGTTTTTATCCATGCTTTCTGAGTAAATGGAATCACAGTTAACAAACAATTTATAACAGGAAATTTACATGCCATTTTTATTGAATCTGAAAAACTAGTTTTAGACAACAAGTTCAGCATAATAAAAGTACATCAAACATAAACGATTTAGTTGGACCGATATACTTCATTCCCCCTTTCCATAATGAAGTCTGAAACATCTAGGTGAGTTGCGTCAAATTGCCCTGATAAATCAAACACTAGATCAGGTATATCCATTGGTTTAGCCTGGTCGAGAAAATTGGTCTCGACACCCTTCTTCTTGAGGGAGGCTTGATACAACTCCACCAGATGTTTTGGGGTACGACAAGTTCGCACCCAATGCCCATTGCCACCACACCTATGGCAGGCTCCTTCAGAGTTCCTGGGAGCATTGGTCATGTTAGCTTTGCCTTTGTGACGATTCACATTTTTTAAGCTCGGGCCAAAATTATGCCTCTGAACCTGGTTGTGAAGCTGACCACCATGGTTCTTGCCTTTCCTATTCCATCAACCTCGTTTGTGGCCACGTCCTTGTTTATGATAATTACCACCAGAGGATGTGGCGTTCACTTCGAGGGAAGCATCATTTACTTCTGGGAATGGTGCAGATCCAGTAGGTCGGGAATTATGGTTTTTCATCAGGAGCTCATTGTTCTGTTCAACTACCAGGAGCACAGATATCAGCTGGTTGTATTCAGTGTAGCCTCGCGCTCTATACTGCTGCTGCAGGAGCACGTTATTGGCATGAAATGTGTTGTAAGTCTTTTCCAACAACATTTCATCCGTAATGGTATCCCCACAGAGCTTCATCTGAGAGGTAATCCTGAACAACGCAGAATTGTACTCCGCCACTGATTTGAAATCCTGAATTCTTAGGTGAGACCACTCATAGCGAGCTTTTGGAAGAATCACCGTTGTCTGGTGATTGTATCTGCTTCGCAAGGCCTCCCAAAGAGCTAACAGATCTTCAACCGTTAAGTTAGCCTTCGCCCGATTTTGAGAAGATAAGCTGCTTTCTTCCCTGATGGTATCTCCAAGATTCCCTGCTTCCAGATGGATCTTGGTATCAAGTACCCAAGTAAGGTAATTCTTCCCGGTAATGTCCAGGGCAGCATATTCAAGCTTAGCCAAGTTCGTCATTTTCTTTTCTGAAAGAAAATGAGATGTGTAAGAACTTGCAGTAATATGTATTCCTAGAGGAATGTGATGTTAGAACTTCTGGTTCTTACAAATTTTTCATTTTGATCTTCAGGCCAAAATGATAAGCACTCGAAACTTCTGGCTCGAGATTTTCAGGGTGAATGAGAAGGGCGATTGTACCGCACCATTCTCATTGAAAGAATGTAACATGGAATGGGCGATTAGTCCGCACCACTCAAGTAGCAAGAAAATTGAAATACGCAGAGCAGGGTGGGCGATTATACCGCTCCACCTGAAATTTGCAGTAAAAGTAGATCTGCAGTCCAAGATAGGCGATGATACCGCACCATCTTGGATCGCAGTAAGATGAAATTTGCAGTTCAAGATGGGCGATTGTACCGCACCATCTTGGATTGCAGTAAAATCAATATAAATACTATGTTAGTAATCAATATCCAAACCAAACAAGTAATCAAAGATGTATGTAACCGCTAGTTGGAGAACTACGAGCAAGCATGGAGCAAATAGTTCGTCGCGAGGATATACAGCGCAGTTGAGGCAGATGAAGAAGATGAACAGGAAAAACCTTATAGGAAACATTTTTTTTTTTTTTTTTTTTTTTTTTGTTCGGCGGAGAGAAATGAGAGAATGATTTCCTTTATTGTTTAGTGAATGTAAATGAGACATGGTTATACTTAGAGACTCGTGCTGATAACGTGTTATAAAAATGTAAAAGTTATAGAGAGATAACCTTTATTTGGGACAGGAACGAAGCAGTTGCAGAGTATTATACCAACACAAGCTGTTGCAGAGGAAGTAATGTATATTATTGCTATTAGATATTTTTCTTTTCCTTTTTCTCTCTCTGCTTTGTTGAACATTCGTAAAGCTCTATTTATAGAGCATCACCATGGAAACAAACAAAAACACTGTTAAACATATGACATGTTTACAGTATGCATGTGGGCATACATATTATACTATTTACAACACTGACCATTTATTTATTTATTTTCTACAACAATCAAGTGCATTACATTAAATCATGACTACATTGTTATTCAGGGTAAATTATTCTCCTTATATATAATAGTAAAACATCTCTACTAATTTACCTATATAAATAGTATTGCCCTATAGTTGGTTATTTACCTACAGTTTATACACATTTCATATTTCTTTTGGCAATTTACCTATGATATATGCAAATAATATTTTCATATTTCGTTGGTATTTTACCTATAATGCAAGAAGGTAAATTGTGTACGTGATACCAATTTACCTACATTTTTTATGTGAACCAAATATTCTACACTGTATATGTAAATAATTTACCTATAGTTGGCTTTTTTTTCTTTTTCTTTATCCTAAAATTAATTTACTTGCAACTTTATCTCCATTAATTTATATACTTTTACTTTGACAACAATTTTTTTTATATATTTTTAAATTACAATAATTCACCTATATATAATATGGACTCATTGTAATGGTAAATTGGAATTCGAGTGTGCGAACTATAGGCTTTTCTCCGTTTTAAATGTGGTAAGGAAAGATTGAACCAACAAATCCGTAAATTTGTGACAATTCGAAATTGATTGTCAAATTGATACTATCACGGATCCAAACCAACAAATCCCTACATTTATATGTAAAATATTATTTTGGGTAAATTTTGTATAAAATCAATAAAAAGTTACAATATTAACAATAGATCAACAATATTTATATTAATTATAAATAGGTCAATCATGTATTATAATACTTAAATGCCTTTAAAATAAACAATAATTACAAAATCTGCCACTACAGCTGTCACCCACTTGAAATGACACACTGTTTCTCATATATTAATATTTTGGAATATGTCAATACGAATTCAAACACTACAATGTAGTGTCTATTTCTTGATTTTGTTTTTCACATTTGGATTCAGACGTTGCGTTGCAGTGTCCACTTCCTAGTTTTGTTTTTCCCATCATTCATCATGCGACTCTTGATTTTTTTACATTTGGATTCAAACACTACAATGCAGTGTTTGTTTCTTGGTTCAATTTTTATATTATTTTTACATTTGGAGATAGATTCATTTCCTGACTCAGTTTTTTTTTTTTTTTTTTTTTTTTTTGACATTTTGATTAAGATACTGCAATGCGGTAACCCTTTTTTGAATTTGTTTTTTATGCAGTATCTGATTTGGGCTTCAATTAAAACATGTCGAAAACCAATTTGTCTTTCGTTATCCATGGCTAATCCCATTGATCATTGTTAATGGAAAAGTGTGCAAATCCGAAAGGGAAGTCCTACTGCATTGTCACATTTGGATGTAAATGGAAAAGTGTGATTGTTTGTATGCTAACAAGCAACAAAGCGATAACTGTGTCCATATTCAAGTGTTACAAAAATCTAGTTACAAATAAACTAAAAATCAAAGTGAGTTGGGCATGCTTGAAAATGCAATCTCAGTTTCAAGCCCATCAAATTGGGCACCTCCCTAAATTCCTTTCAAATTTACTGTCAACGTCTGAAACATATAAAGCAGCACCAAAGTTTCCGTCAATTCGAAATGTGAGACCAATCCAATAATCCATACAACAAAAAGATGCATACCCAAATCAAAATCAATCAAAACACATTGGAAAATCATCGCAAACTAAACGGAAAACAAAACCCACCAGGAAGAAACTCACAGATTGAGCTATCAAAAAACGAAAACAAAGCCGACCCAGATGAGAAAAACCGAACCTTTTCAACAGGAAGAGTAAAACAAGCCGTGTCAACGGCGGCCACAAGGAGGAGGAGGAGGAGAGCGATCCTGAGCGCGAAACCCCAAGTGAACGCCGTGGAAAACCTCCGACCCCAAGACCTGCACTCCTCGTCGTCGTCGTCGTCGTTGTAAATAGGTTGCTTCAACGACAAGCGAGGCCTCAATCCCCAAGGGTTTGCCAGATTTGATTCGGCTCCAAAAGATGTGAGCTTCCTGCCTCTTTTTTTTCTGGGTACCCACTGTTTTTGTTTCCTTGCGTTCTTATCTTATCTGCCTGATTAGATTGAGAAATCTTCCGAGATTAATTGGGAATTTCAGATGATTAGGAAGGCACAGAAAGTCGTAGAAAAATTACTGATTAAGTAATTGTATAACTATTTATATGGGCTTGACACCATGTAACATTTCTTATTGACCTATATCTAATTAACAAAAATATTTCATTGATTAAGTTCAAAAATAAAATTGACCATTGATATATGATTCATTAGTAAAAATTTTATTGACCTTTTACTAAATTTCCTTATTATTTTTGTAAAATCATTAATTCCCCTTTACAATTTGCTTAGAATTAATTGTGTACATTAAACATTTAAATGAGGGTATGTTAGGCATCTGAAAAATTTTAAATGGGTATAGTCAAACATAATTAATGAATTTGCTTATTTAGAGTCTAGTCAATGAGTTTTATTCGAGCAAAAAACGTATTTTGGGTTTTATATGGAAAAAATTGAATTTCAAGGGTTAAAGTTATATTTTCAGTTTTTCTTCTAATCACAAAAACAAATGTTCAAATCCAAACATAAATCTCATTTAGACATATGAGCGGAGATGGATACCGTTTTTTAATTGGATTAGGAGATTGCATGCAGTCTAAGGGGGGTGTATTCAATTGAGAATGTGAGAGATTTTAATGGATTTATAAATCCATAGATTTTTATGGAGTTTAATTGATTTGTAGAGATTCCATATAAAATTTTGATTCAATTCCCTTGAAATCTCATGGGAAGAGGTGAGATTTGTAGATGCTTAAAATACACTACGAAATCTCTCTAATTCTCTCTAATTCCTCAACTTTCTCAAATTCTTTATAATCAATTTCTAATTGAATACACCTGGAATGTTATAAACTTCTTTAAAATTCTAATTGAATACACCCAGATTTCTAAGGATTTTAATAAACTATCTTAAAATTCTAATTGAATACACCTAAAATTTCAGAGAATCACTTGAAATCCTGATTGAATACCCCTAGATTCATTAAAAGAATTAAAATCCCTTAAAATCCCAATTGAATACACCCACTAAGTTAGGGAAAATCATTCCTATTCAGTGTAGGATTAGTAAACATGAAACCAAAACCCTATATATATTCATTCACCACATCAACAATTTCACCCACCACAATCTTTGCATCCTAATATTTGGTTTGAGCTTGGAACTTCTCACGAATCACGATGAACGTACACCGCCAGAAGAACGCACAACGGCAGAAGGGTTCGGGTGCGTCGATCGTGACGAGAGCAAGAGAGAATTCGGGTGCGTCGATTGTGCCGAGAGCAAGAGAGAAACGTCCGCCGCTAAGAGAGAGAGGTATACCTTATGATCAGATTGATGTCTCAGACATTGATTTTTTCATTTACTTGGCTCCGAAACCGGAAGAGATTGAGCTTTCCTCTCACTTGAATCGGTTGTCTTGGTCGAAGGGGTCCGATCGAGAGGCGGCGCTGGCCTCGTTAATCAAGCGATTAATTAAAAAGGATTTCATGGATGATTATGACTATCTGGAAGGAAATTTAATAACTTTTACATTTTTTCTACAGAGATGCTTTAATTTCCAGAAAAAGGATTCGGCTTCCCTCTTAGAGAAGCAGCTTTCGCTTCATACCATAGGCTTGCTGGCCCTGATCGTCGAGGGCGAGGATAAAATGTCCGAAATCTACGGACAGTTGCTTCCCCTGATTTCCATGTCTCTGGAATCGGGACATGAACCGGCGGTGAAGCTGCTGCAATGCTTGGCTGTTGTGAGTTTCTTTGGTGCAACTAACTCGGAGGAGACTGAAACTGCAATGCAGGTTGTTTGGAATTTTATCAGTGCTCCGGAATCTGCGAAAGAGCTTTTGCCAGAGGTTCTGGTTGCCGGAATATATGCTTGGATGTTTCTTCTTACAAGCATGGAGGGATGGCGGCTCAGCTACAACTACTGGAATGGGGCGATTTCTTACTTCTGTAATCTGTTAGAGCACGGCGATAAATCAGTATGTGTGGCGGCTACTGAAGCTCTAGCTTTGATATTTGAGACTGGTAGTTTGGACAAGTTCTGGAGATCTGAAGAAAAGGTTCCGAGCACGATCAAGTATTCGAATTTGCAACAATTGCTGACAGGGAATGTTTTGACGAAACTCAAGTCTGTTTACCCAAACATGGGAGGTGATGTGAATGCTGCGAAGAAAGTCCGCCAAATTATGATTTATTTTCAGAATTTTTGCTGCCCGGGAGCATCTGTAGCGGTCAATGGGATTGATCTGAAGTTATCGTCATGGTACCAGATGATTCAGTGGCAGTTTTTGAAGGGTTTTATAGCTGACGGGTTTGAACTACACATGAAGGAAAATGAGAAGCTGTGGAGGGTGTTCAATTTTGATCCATACGAAGTCGCCGAGGTTGGTGAAGAATTGTATGCGTCTACTACTGATAAGAGCAGGACCCGTTTCTTTTTACCGAAAGAAAGAGATCCGTACTTGCTAACGAAGGAAGCTACAAAGAAGGAGAGGGTTTGGAGGAACTCTCATTTAGACAAGGCGAGAACGCAGTTGATGAACAAACAACGCCGTTTGTCGCAGGAACTGAACAGCTGGATCTAGTTCATGGCAGAGTTGTTAGCTTTAATTCTTGTTTGTTAGCATTTCAGAGATAATTTCTAGAGAAAGAATGTTAGCAGAGTCAATGTAAAAGTAGTTTAATTCAATAGTAATGCAAACATTTCTTTTTCTGACCATATGATTTATTCTCTCTAAAATTTGTGTAGCATAAGCAATAAATAGCAACATCGCTCTCGCTCTCTTATTGTGGTTTTCCAGCCAAAAACCGGCTAAACAAATCAAACGCCTCTCGTGGTTTGTACTCTGGAACTGTATGTCCAGACCCCTGCACCAATACATTAAAACGAATGTATTAAAATCGCAACTGAATCCAATCAAAAGGACCAGCTAGTACAGTATAGCCTATCGTAGAAAGAAAAAACATTTTCGTGCGCTGACCTTTACAGTTAGAAAGGTGAGGTTATTCTCGTAACCCTGTGTGTACCTGCGGCCATTTACATTCGATTATTCACTACACCAGTACCATATTTCACAATGTTTGATGTCGGAAATATGTAATAGTATTTACCCAGCAACTTGTCCGTTCGAAGTCCATGGCCTCCATTCATCCACAATCTTATAACCAAGTGATCTAGTCCATGCTTCACTCCCAGTGAAAGGAACACACATATCATGATCACCGCTGCCACAAAAAATCGAGCAGGAATGCATATCAGTTATAACATTCAAATTTCATTTACTTCTCCCATTTTAGCGCAATCAAAGCGAACATTGTAGCGAAGGTGAAAAGAAAGCTTTAGAGAATTTTCGACAGGCATGACTTTAATAGATGACATTGTAATTGGAGATTACCTATATATAAGTGCCCGATAACCCTTTGCAGTGAGGTTCTTGTGGTACTTGATCATACTTCCAGAATCATGATAAAATTCAATTCTGCTTGTGCATAATTCCCATGAAAAATCCTACATAGTGCAAAAAGGATTTCAAAAAGCTACAATGCTTCTCGGAGCCAGCAGGACTAGACATTGACAAACTTTCGTTTCTGGTTTAAAACATTAACTTTGATAAACCTTACCGTTTCTGCATGGATTGCCTTCCTAACAGTTTCGTTGTTCAACCATTCAGTAGCAACCTCATCATTCTGCAGGAGACATATCAAATCTAAGGCTTCTTGTACACGAGAATAATATTCTAGTATCGAAGTTGAACAATCTTTCTTTTAGCCTTTTCGGGGAAGTATACTTACTATCGAATCAAGAAATTAATGGCTGACAATGGGAAAGGGGATCAAAAGATGAAAATTGTAACAGACTAAGCAACTTACAATACACGGAACACTTTCACTATCCATCAGCTCCGGCCAAGTTGGAACAATACCATCCCTCACAGGAGCTCTAAGAGGCCAGGCACGACCAAACATTCTTTTTCTGACAGCAAGTGGCCTTTCAGTCTCACCCAACCGTCGAAAGCTAGATGGCAATCCGCTCTTTGTAACTTTTCTGTTCTTACTCGAATCTGTGCTGTGATAGCATGGTTCCAGAATGTCATATATGTTCAAATCTTCTATGTTCTGGGATCAACAAAAATCTTAAAGTCAGTTAAATAAAAACATAGCATTGCATGTTATACACAAAATATTGAGATTTGTATTACCTTGTCAACTTTTTTAAGCTTGCTCTCACAATTATCATTCACCGGATAAATGTAGTTTCCTCCGCACGCCGTGTTAACCTCCTGAAGCACAAACACGTCTCACCCAAATTACTACCTTTTTTTTTTTTTGGGGGGGGGGCGGCAAAGGGGGTGAAATAAGCATTACAGTTGCTAGTGTCAAATTGGTCATTCTATACAAACCTCGTATAGATCATCTGATATCATTCCCATCCCGTGTGCAAACGGAACAAGAGCGTTACCATCGAATTTATCATCCGTAACGCCATTTCCCACCAGATAACCCTGTGTTATGCAGTCATTTGAGGTTTGGAGCCAGAAATGATTCAAATTTACAAAAGGACTACCTATACAGATAAATACCTTGAAGTTGAGAACAGGCGTTACACCAGCATCAATTCCTGTTGAAACATCGGGAGCTCCACCTTAGATTTTGGTTTCAATATGTAAGTTAACTTCTAACGTTAACATTATTGACTGATTTACCTTTCACTACTTCAGAAGAAAGCGTCGGCACGTAGACTCCGGCATATGACTCCCCAGCAATAAAAAATGGGTTGGAGAGGAACTCAGGATAAAGTTCAAACCACTGTTTACAAGAGAGCAGATGCATTAGTACTACTCTGGGAAATTAGAACAAACAAAATGATAAACGAGTTCTTATCTATACATCAATGTAAAGTATACATTGCCTTTCAAATGGATCACATCCACCTATTAAGTTCTCTTGGATTTTTTGACTTCACATCTAGCCGTTAAATTTCACAATGTATACCATACATTGATGTAATCTAGATTTTTCGGCGAACATCTTTTCAAGTTGTTTCCTTTTTCACCTTGAGGAGAAATGCGTGGGAATCAGAGGCAGTCTTTAGATCCCCAGTTTCATAGTCAGTCTCATTTTTTGAGTAAGAAAATCCAACACCAGCAGGAGAGTCCAGATATATAATGTTGGAAACCTAATAACATGAAAATAATTGATTTCACTTATACAAAGAAAAATAAGAAATAAAATTCAGAGATAATATTCATTTCACATCTCAAAGTAGCAACCTTCGACCAGCTATATGGATTAAGGTGGAGTTGGGTCAGACTTCCCTTGGTCTTGGCCTTTTCAAAATTGAATGGCCCTGAAAAATATGGACAGAATCAATGTTTTCATAGGCTAATTAAATTACAAAAAGTTTTCAACTTTATGAGAATTATCCTATTAGTAAATTTTATTGAATTGGGAGCAGTCTCTCCATAAATGGGGGTAAGGCTAGCCGACATTTACCTCTCTCAGACCCTGCGTAAAGCGGGAGCCTTGTGCACTGGATACGACGAGTAAATTTTATTGAAGGTGACGGTAGAAGATGAATTACGTTGGTAGAAAACTTATCTGTTCCAATCCTCAGAAAATGGTAGGATCAACAATTTATTATGTATCCCCTCTAATCCCACAAAATGAAAAACACTTCGCCTCTACCTTTATTTCTTACTTCAACATATATGAGTTATCCGATCGAATTCACTCCTAAGCACCAAACGAGCCCAATATGTTTTAGCCATTTGAAAGTAGACACATTATTTCAAACCAAGAACATAGAAGAATCAAATACTAGAAGACAACATGTAATGACTATAAGCAATAAAGTGAACTGGGAAACATTACCATGCTCATAAACAAAGCCATCAAAGCTGGAGCATCCAGGTCCACCATTGAGCCACAGAACCACCGGATCCTCCGCCGGCTTCCCTTCTGATTCGACGAAATAGTAGAACAGGTTCCTCCCATGACTCTGGTCAACTGTCACATACCTTCAAAACAAACCCACAAAAAAATGAACAACCATAACACGAACAATCCCAGAAATCCACACGCACTTAAACTGACAAAAATCTTACTTACCCAGCATAATGTTTTGAAGGAAGAGTGCCACTGAATCCAGGAATCTGGGATACGAGTGCAGATTGAGGAGCTGATTGGGTTGGCAAAATGCTCAAGAAAGTGTAAATTAATGGCACAAAAAATAAATATAATATTCTCCCAGCCATTACTTCTTCTGATAAAATTTAGAAAAACAAGAAGGTTGTCGTTTATCAAATCAAAACACTGTGACAAGAGAATTTATACGATCTTTTCTGGGATTAATTAATAGTTAAGTGGGATGATTAGTGATTGAATTGATTAGTCTGCCATACAAGTTGCTGACTTTTGCAGCTGTTGCTTACAAGCCAAGAAAAAGAAACAGAAAAGTGGAATAAAAGGATGATTAAAGTGAGAGTTGCTAAAAGCATCAAATGCTGACGCCGCTAAAACTCTGCTGTTGTGCTGCAGCGGCAAGAGTGTGGTCTTCTAGACCAATGGGTGTCTGAAACGTGTTGAGAATTGACCAATCAGGTGTCGTGGCAACTGAAAGTGGAAAGGTGCCCCATAATTGGGGACAGTTTTGGTGTTTCTGGCCATCATTAGCGCTTAACGTGTGAGGGTGGGAGAAAGGGTGACAGGGAAGAAATGTGTGATGCCAATGGATTGACCAAGACTCTTTTTTGAGGTTAAATTAATTAATTAACAGTTGTCACTTAGTACTGTAGTTTAATGATATTAGTTTTTATTTGTTAGTGAGAGATCTTAAATTCGATTATCATCAAATACGAATTTGAACCACATTATTGTTAGGTCATTATGAGACTTAGGGTTGATTTGGTATTGATGTGCTTTGAAAAAAAAGTTGTTTCTGCTGTGCTGTTAGAATAAGCAGCTGTGAAATATAGCAGCAAAGTGTTTGGTAAACTTTTTTGTAAAAGTGCTTTTGAAAAAAAAAACAGTATTATAGTGTTTGGTAAACTTTTATATAAAACAAATGTGAAAAAAAATCGATTTTTCACAGCTGGGTTTTGCAGCTTCTTGTTTTTGGCCTTTTTTTCACCCAAAACTGTGAAAAAAAACTGAAGCTAAATGTTTACCAAACACAAAAATAGCTCCTAGTTTTTTTTTATACCAGCTTTTTTCAGAATCACCTGAGTACCAAACCAGGCCTTAGTCCACTCTTCTTAATGTAATAATATCATTTGTTAATAAAATATTAACTATTATATTAGAAGATAATATATTTTAGCTTCACGTTTGGTAACTTCCAAATTAACTACACATGTTTTAAGAGAATACAAACTGATAAGAGTAAATTATAACAATGGTTCTTTAACTTTAACTTAATTGGAGCAATAGTCCATCAACTAAAAATCCATTACCATTGGTCCCTCAACTTATCAAAACGTGCAACTATGGTCCCTCAACTAAAAATTCATTACCATTAATCCCTTAACTTTAATTCAACTGGAGAAATGATCCCTCAACTTTAAGCTAATTGGAGTAATGGTCACTCAACTTTAACCCAATTGTAGCAATGATCCTTCCAACATAACTCATTTTGACAAAATTCTGACAAAGTTGGAGAAAATGACCATAGTTATACGTTTTGATGAGTTGAGGGACCCAATTGTAACAATTGTCCTTCTAACATAATTTATTTTGACAAAATTAATTTACTCGATTGATAAAGTAGAGTTCTATGAGTGGTAAATAACGGATTTTCTAAGAAACTGATAAAGTAGAGTTCTATTAGTAGAAAACAACGGATTTTCTAAGTTGCTTATGTACATTTTTCTAGTAGTGTTTTTTTTTTTTTTTTTGAGTAATGCTAGAAAAACTAAATTTTGAAAATTAAAAGACGTGAAAGTTGATGATTGGTTTATTACCTAAGCTTTGATAAACGTGCTCATTTCTATTGGTGACACATCATTTAGTTTCTAAATTTTATCTACAAATTTAGTCTTTTTTTTATATATTTTTTTATAACATTGTCTTTGTGACCAAACAAGAAATTAAGTGACTTGTAAGATGGTAAATACCAAACTAATGGTGGATGTGATTGTTGTTTGCGAAACTAATGTTTTTAGGTAAGGTCACATTAAGCACGTTTTGAGCCCATGAGTTAGTAAAGCAATCCTCATCCACTAGATTGCTGACGAGAAATAATTTCAACACATCATGTTTCACCTTTTTACCCAACTCCTCTTAATTTTAACCATTGATTCTCCTTCAACTACTATAATATTAGGAAAACTAAAGAAAAGTTAAAAAAAAACTTTAGTTTTAATGAAAAATGACAAATAAATGTGTAGTAAATAGTACTATGAAAAGATAAAAATGTGATTTTTCGTTAAAAGTGAACAGTATCAGAAGTGTTTAGTTAAAATTTCCTACAATATTCCCACCTATCTTCATAAGAGAATAATGATTATGTGTGGGGTTTACTCTTTTAAGTATTTTGAGTGGGATGATTATGATGATGGTTTTCAATCTCCTTTCCTTTCTTTTAATTCAAACAAACAACAAAAAAACAAAACAAGAGTGAGGGACCCAATAATCATGACGTATTTCAAGTACCATTTCACTATCAGAGAACCGTGATGCTTGTCTTTGCACCTGATTTTTCACACCTTTAGTCTAATTTTAGGCACCCAAATAAAAGATTTGAAGATATTTTATTGGCAGAAATTGGGGAGGATCCATATGTTAAGCCAATTATCTCAATAGCCACTTTTTCAATCAAGATAATTAGAAAAACTGTTGAAATTGATTGATTTATGATATTAGACAATCCAAGACATAAAGATGTTATCGGAACTCCAAATAAATGATTTTACACTCTTTGTAAATGTTTTTTTGTTCTTTCTAAATATACAAAATTTAGAATGACCACAATTGAAAATAAAATGAGAAAAAATCGGTTAAAGTGATTTACACATGTGAACCGAAGGCTTCCAAATACTCTAGTTAGAAAATGCGATTGTGAAACAGTCTCAGAGTAAAATAGGTAGGGGAAAACCTAAAAAGACTTGGAAATGAACTCTAAGAAAAGACATGAAATACTTGAAGCTAACGAAAAACTTGGCACAAAACTGAGCCCAGTGGCGTTCTAAAGTTCATACAGCAACCCTATTTAGTGGAATAAGTCTTTGTTTGTTTATATGAAAAAATTAGAGTGCAAATTAGTTTTTTGGAGTCCAATAATTGCACCCCCAAGGAAATTAGCTATAAGATGTTATCCTAATTATCTCAAGAGGAAATTGTAGCAATGGTCCATCAATTAAAAATCCATAACTATTGGTCCCTTAAGCATCTATAGTCATTTTTATCAATTGTCAAAATGAGTCATGTTGGAATGACCGTTGCTTTAATTGGTTTAAAGTTGAGCGATCATTGCTCCAATTGGGTTAAAGTTGGCGGACCATTTCTCCAATTGGATTAAAGTTGAGGGAACATTGCTACAATTTTTCTCATTTGGTTTTCCATATTTATCCCTTGATTCAGCATCATGTACGTGCACATGACTCATTTTGACAGAAGTTCTAACGGAATTGACGAAAATGACCATAGATGCACGTTATGATGAGTTTAGGGATCAATAATCACGAAATTTTAGTTAAGAAACCATTACTCCAGTTGCGATAAAGTTGAGGACCATTGCTACAATTTCTTCTTATCTCAAATATATGGTTTGGTTGAATATTGGTTCTTTTAAAAAGAGAGAATCTAAACTCAGAAGAAGAAGAGGCAAACAAATAACCCAACCTTTAGTTGAAGCTCTTTCAGCTTCAAGTCTCTTTAGTTCATCATCTTGCAACTTTACACAGTTCATTTTCCTTTTCGTGCCGTTTTAGGTCGACTTTCGGATAAACAGTTCCTTGATGCAAAGCAAATTTCAAAAATAATTCATGCATTACTGCCTAAAACTACCAGCAAGGAGGTAAATTACAATTACAAATAGTTTGCAATGTAATACTAAATTACATGGTACACACTACAGTTATATTGCTATATGGATTGTATCCCAACTTTCCTACTCTCATCTCACTCAGTATGTTTTGCATTTCTACCATCCCCTTAAACTACATTTGCGCGTAAGGTACCAGTTCGGTAGAAAGAATCGCAGCGCGCGCTTTGCTTATAGCTGATCGTAACTTGATTACCGAATGAAAGCCACACATGCTAAGATTAATGGTGCACTAGAGAACTTGACTCCTCTCTGAGTCTGGTCCCTGGAGAAGAAAACCCAACAGAGCTATGCATTAGCAGAGTTTGAAATGAGGGTTTTTAATCTTCGGCATGCTATTGTCTTTATTTAATGATTCTATAAATATAAATTTCGATGGACGAGTAAAATAAATGGACGAAAACTTGGAGGAGTTCTGATATCTTCTGTAAAGAGGAAAGTAGTCCACAATATATGGTATTGTCAGGCAAAGAATTTTCGTTTTGGTCATTCTCGCGATTCACGACACTCAAATAAACTTCTTGGCCTAGATACCATGAGTCCAGATTCTGTGTACGAAGGTTCCAAATTCCGGCGTTGTCAAGAACAACCAATATGGCTGTCCAAGATCCAGGGAAGACCTATAGCCATATGAGCATGAAGCAATGAATTAACAATACGCAATCAACCTAAAAGTGGATCAACCAAGAATCTTGTTCCATTCCATGCGCATGCAAATGTGCGTGTGTGCAACAAGCCCATTGAACCAAGGTGTACCTGTGTTGTGCAGCGAGCAACGCCATTCCATTTGTTGTAAGTGCTTCTGCTATTCTCTGTCCACACTCCCACATCCATACTACAGGGCAACATCAAATTGTTCGATCATGTTTGTACTTTGGCAGTTCCATAATTAGGAACAGAGACAGATTACGAATTCAAAACTAAAAGCTCACCCCACGACAAAAAATGCAGAGCCATCCAAATGGTAGTTCTGAACAGTGGTGTCATTGTTCTGAAAGATGATTTCCATGAAACCTTTGAAAGTACCATTAATCAGGGATGTGTCGACTTTGGCAGGTCTGTTCATCAGTTTATTCGGGAAATCAAGCTTGTAAACCCCTTGTTTGGGTTAATATTTAAACTTTGGGCTTTCAAGAAGGGAAGCCCAAAAAGAGCTCAATAAGGAGATTTCGCTCGAGACCTAGCACCTAAGCCCAGATCATCCATCTAAAAGACCAATTGGCACTCTCCCATTAATGTAAAGGCTAGTTGCTTACAAGAAGTGACAATTGATGAAAATTCACCAACTCTAGGCCTAAAAGTGCTTTTTGGATGGCAAACACGTA